CCGAGTCCTGGCAAACCCGGGTCTTACGCTCCCCCGAATCAGAAGCAAAAAGGCGAGAAGGCACAAATCATGGGTTTTCATAGATGTTGAAAAGGACTTGGGCCTCCTGGGGGGTCCTGAGGATGCTCCAAGAGAGCGTGGATCCGCCTTGTGGCCCCCGCCCGGCCTCTTGGGTGTATGTCGGAAGTTATCTTGAACCGTCGTCGGTTATCTTGAGCCGCCTCGGAGGCCATCTTGGAGCATCGGAGGCCCTCTTGTAAATATCTTGGGCGAAAAAAGGGCCCTCCAACACATCGCGGTCCGCCCTGAAACATTTTAGGGAGGGGAGGGGGAGGATACCCCTCCCGCAAGGGAAGAGGGCTCTGGAAGAGGAAAGAAAGAACTCGCCAGATCAGCTGAGCCTAAAGGGCTTTTGGGATTCAGGACCCCCGCTCCCGTCCGATGCTTTCTCGCAACGTATTTAGGAAACGTCGCCCGGGATTTCCCGACAATTGATCCAGACCCCTCGACGGCCCGGCTACAACAAGCTAGAATGCAAGTTTTGGGAGGTTGAATCCTGCATCGGCGTTGGTATTGTCGCGGTCGATCGCCAGCTTAGTTTGGGCGAATCGGGCTTAGTCAGGCTAAATCCCGCCTCATCCCGCTCAATCTGGTTTACTCAGCTAAATAATATTGTCAATTTCCGGTTAAGCGGCCCTCTAATCGGGCTTGATCGGCCTCATTCGTTCCAGCGACGATTTTCCAGGACTTGTTTCTTAAAATAACAGCGGCTCCCGCCTGACGCTTCTTCCCAGTGTATTCGAGACCCCCCCGCTCCCGCCCGAGGCTTTCCCGCAAAATCTTCTCCGGAGTCGCGCTCATCGCGCGGTGGGGCCCGCCCGTAATCGCGGTCTGCCCGCAAGAGTGCGCCCGCGCGACGCGCCCATTTTTCCCCCGTCGGGGCTCACCCCGGAGCTGGAATGGACCCCCCCCCAAAAAAGGAGGTGTGCGTTCAGAGATATAGAGTTGTGGACGAAGATCAATGGAGAGGAAGCATGCTACTAAATTCGCCGGCCCAACGGCCCAGAGGCGTGCTAAGGTCTCCGGTAACTACTTAACAATATTTCTAGTTCGCGCGCGCGGGGCGGCCCCCTGGGGGGCCCTGGGCGAAAAGTTTCCCGGGAAGGTCCCGGGACACTCCCGGCAGACTCGGGTCAGAGATGGTTTTCCTCCTGGGTGCGGCCTTCCACGCTCCCCGGAGCGCGCCAAGAGGGCCCCAACAAGAATCCAAGACGGTCCAAGAGGGTTCCGAATCACCGAACGATCGTCCCAAGACGCCCAACCGGGCCTCAAGACGGCCCAAGAAGCTTCCAAGACGTCCCAAGAGAGCCCCGACCATTTCCAAGAGAGCCCCAAGAGGCCAAAATCATTGATTTCCATTGAGTTTTCCAAGGTTTTTGGCTTCCTCGCCTTTTCGCGTTTCCGACGCTCCAAGACGGCCCAAGAGGCCTCCAAGAGAGCCCCAAGGCCGCCCAAGAGGGCCCCACGACAGCCCAAGAGGCGCCCAAGACGGTCCAAGAGGACCCCAAGATGGCCCCGGGTGGGGCCCAACATGGAGACCACGATCTGAGAATCCGAGCCTTCCGCTCCAAGAGGGCTCCTGGACGCCCCAAGAGGCCCCGAGAGGCCCCGAAAGGCGACAAGGGGCCCGAAAGAGACCCCAAGAGGCTCGACAACGACTCCCGAGAGTCTCCAAGAACACTTTCGAGAGGCATCCCACGATATCCCAATGAACGTCCACGAAGCCTCAGAGCGCCAAAACCATTGATTTCCATTGGGTTTGCAAGATCTTTTGCCTCCTCGCCTTTTCGCCTTTCCGACGCTCCAAGCCGGCCCAAGAAGCCTGCAAGACCACCCCAAGACGGCTCAAGAGGCCTCCAAGAGAGCCCCAAGGCCGCCCAAGAGGGCCCCACGACAGCCCAAGAGGCGCCCAAGACGGTCCCAGAGGACCCCAAGAGGGCCCCAAGTGGGGCCCAACATGGAGACCACGAACTGAGAATCCGAGCCTTCCGCTCCAAGAGGCCTCCTGGAGGCTCCAAGAGGCCCCCGAGAGGCCCCAAAAGGCGACAAGGGGCCCGAAAGAGACCCCAAGAGGCTCGACAACGACTCCCGAGAGTCTCCAAGAACACTTTCGAAAGGCATCCCACGAGATCCCAATGAACGTCCACGAAGCCTCAGAGCGCCAAAACTATTGATTTCCCTTAGGGTTTCCAAGATTTTTGGCTTCCTCGCCTTTTCGCCTTTCCGACGCTCCAAGACGGCCCAAGAAGCCTCCAAGACCACCCCAAGACGGCCCAAGAGGCCTCCAAGAGAGGCCCACGACCGTCCAAGAGAGCCCCAGGACAGCCCAAGAGGCGCCCAAGACGGCCCAAAAGGACCCCAAGAGGGCCCCAAGAGAGGCCCAAGATGGAGACCACGAACCGAAGATCCGAGCCATCCGCTCCAAGAGGGCCCCTGGACGCCCCAAGAGGGTCCTAAGAGGCCCCAACAAGCGACAAGGGGCCCCGAAAGAGACCCCAAGAGGCTCGAAAACGACTCCAGAGAGTCTCCAAGAACACTTTCGAGAGGCATCCCACGATATCCCAATGAACGTCCACGAAGCCTCAGAGCGCCAAAACCATTGATTTCCATTGGGTTTTGCAAGGTCGGTTGCCTCCTCGCCTTTTCGCCTTTCCGACGCTCCAAGACGGCCCAAGAAGCCCCCAAGACCACCCCAAGACGGCCCAAGAGATCCCCTAGAGAGGCCCACGACCGTCCAAGAGAGCCCCACGACAGCCCAAGAGGCGCCCAAGCTGGTCCAAAAGGACCCCAAGAAGGCCCAAAGAGAGGCCCAAGATGGAGACCACGAACCGAAGATCCGAGCCTTCCGCTCCAAGAGGCCTCCTTGACGCCCCAAGAGGCTCCTAAGAGGCCCAACAGGCGACAAGGGGCCCGAAGAATGCAAAAAGGAAACTGCAGAATGTTGTCTTGTTCCCTGCGATCGTAGTCACGAGCCGCCACCTTCCGAAACAGAAGGTTCAGGCGGGCAAAGAATGGTTCCCGCCTGCGAAATCACCAAAAGCCAGCCATCCATAAACAAAAAAACGACCCAGTAGCACCCCATTGACAACGATCACACGGGCACCCGACAGCCGTGCACCAATACGGGCCGGCGGAATGAGCGAAGCGATTAAATAATTTCCAGATGTCTTAAACATGTGCAAAGCTGCTTAAACATGTAAGAAACATGTTTGAAATGTTTTAAAGCATGGTTAGACAATTTTAAGCACATCTTTAATTCAATGATCGGATTGTTAGAGTGTCCATTGTCATGGTATCCACGAATATAGAGGGTTGGCGCGAGGGAGGGAGGAATACATGAAGATCAGATCGGCCTCTTAGGTCAAAGGGTCTTGTTCTGGTCGTCGTCGTCGTCGCCGTCGTCGGCGCGGGTGGTTCACGGCGGGGGTGGGCGGGTCGCGGTGCGGGTGGGTCGCGGCGCAGGTGGGTCGTGACCCACCCGCGCCGCGACCCACCCGCGCCGCGACCCACCCGCGCATGTTCAGTCTTTCCCGCGGTTGCGGGTGATTAGGGCGCACCGATCCTGACCAGACACAACCTGAGCTCATGATTGGTGTCTACGCCTCCCGACCCCCGACGTCGTGATGTTCTCTCGACGCGGATCCCCATCGATGTCTGGACCCCTGCTCGGGGACTGGCTTTTCATCCCGAGTCGTTTGTTGAAGGCGTCGGGTTGGGGGTTGCTGAAGGTGGTGCCCCTGGCCCAAGGTGCCGCCAGCTTTTCGTTCAACGCTGGAGCCGCCTGGCCCTCTGGGCCTCGTGAGTGGTGCTCTGGAGGCCGTGGGGGCCTTGGACGTCTTGGGGGCACCACGGGCCAGGGGCACTTTTAGCAACACCCGACCAGGGCCGACGGCCGCGGTCCGCTTCGGAGCCAAGCACTTTTGAAATATCTTGTGCTTTCAGTTGCTACTTTGCACGCGTGGCTAGCAGCTGCCTTGCAGGGGAACTCAATGAATCAATATCTGTCGACCCTCCACCACCACCTGGTCCTGGCGAGAGCCCCTGGCGAGGGCCCCCAGAGGCCGGAAACGACGAGCAGCCGTGCGGCACGACTTTTTCACGACGCCAGCGGGCGCCGTGATCGGCGTTCTGGCCCTCTCTCGGGCGGGTGCGCACAGAGGAGTTTTCGGGTTGACCCAGACGGGGGTCCAGCGACAAGGGGGTAGTGCAACAGATTTGGTGCTATAGATTTGTGGGGTTGCAATACATTCAAGGCGTGCAATACATTCCGGGGCGCAAATGTACTGCTGGATTTTCGCGTACAATACATTACTTGCAATACAATGCTATACAATTCTCCGGCGCAGTACATTTGCAATACATTTGCCCGAAATCTATTGCACCACCCCTTTTCAGCTGGACCCACTTTTTGGTCGCCCAGAAGTTTCCATACATTCAACGCCTGTAACCTTATGGAGAACGATCAGTGGAGAGGAAGCATGTTGCCAAATGATTTCCAGATGTCTAAAGCATGTGTTCCACAGGTGTTAAGCATGTAAAATTATGTTTGGGACATGTTTAGAACTTGTTCCCTACAGTTTGGACACATCTTAATTCGATGATAGGACTGTTAGCGTGCCCATTGTCGTGGCATCCACAACCATACATTCAACGCTTGTAACCTACAGTGGAGGCCCATGCCAAGAAACACCCTGCTTGCCTCCATTGTAATTTGGGGTTTCTTGTGTTTCGGAGGTTTCGCTGTGGAAAGCGTGACGTTCCCACACCAAAAATGAAAGGACGTCCTGGGGTCTCCTGATAGGGTTTCTTTTGGGAGGTTTCTTGTGGAAGGGCCCCTACGGTATTTTGAGAGACTTCCCTGCGGCCAGCCCAAGGGTGGCCTCGAGGGAGTTTCTCGAGGCCAACGTAACACACTGTGTCCTGTCGGCGCCCTCCTCGAGGCCGCGGCGCTTGCGGCCTCCGTGGTGGCGGCGGTCTGCGCGGCGGCGACCCTGGCGATGGTGCCCGCGGCACCCCTCGCGCCGTGGCAGAAATCGCGACGGACTTCTTTTTCGTTTCTGCATGTTCGGCCCATTCATGATCGCGTCGTAAAAAAAAAAACGACGACAGATTTCTGGCCATTTTCGCTTCCAGGAGCCCTCGCTAGGCCCCAGGACCGTCAAACACCGACTCGGGATGAAAAGCCGGCCCTGGGGAAAGGGGACATTTGGGAACTCGGTGTCGAAACAAAGCAAGACATCGCTTGCTTTGCGATGGTGCTCGAACCCTGAGATCCAGGCATGGCATTTTTTCACACCGGGCGTTTTCGCCTGGTTCCAGACCTCAGGACATTCACAGGTCGATCCGGCTGGAGAGGTACCGCATGCAGGTGAGGTTTGGGTCTCTGGTCGTAGATTTTCCGGTGTTGCGATTTCCGTCGCAACGTCGGATCTCAATGAACGGGACAACGTTGCGGGAGGCAATGCAGGTCCCGACAGCCGGTTTCTTTCGCGTCTTCGACATTTGGAGGCCGTCCCCCGGCCGCGGGGGCCGTCAAAAGTTATTCGGGATGAAACTCTCAGCAGCAGCCTCCTTCCAAGAAGCCTCCCCCCTCCCCCTTTCCTTAAGCCGGGCCTGTCCTTCTACAGGAGGAATCTTCCAACATAGTCAAACAATAGTTTTGGGACGATTTGTTCAAACCATGTTTGAATAGTTTCTTGTATTTTTTGACTATGTTTCATTTGTCGTCCAAAATCGGCCTGCAGAAAAACAGGCCCGACTTAACCCTATCCCCTTGTGCGCGCCGCCAGCACGTGCCCTGCTCAAGACGGTCGCTGTTCATACGCTGCTTGTTGGCTCAACGTATTGGCCCACGCTTTGGCGAATGCGTCGCGTCAGACCCGTGTCGTCGGTCTACGTGTTGAGCCCCGTGTCCACACGCCACGTGCTGCGTGCTGCGCATCGGGGCAGCCAGGGATGCGGCAGCACAGAGGTGGGCCGCTGCAGCCATCTCGCGGAACGGGCCTGGGCATGGAGCAAGTGCCAGACTTGTGGGATTTCAAGTTTCAGTTGAGGACGCTGGCCAGGAAGTGCAGGCACGAACGGGGAGGGATCCTGCGGGCTGTGGCCACTGTGAACAGCTGGCCACGCGCTAGACTCCAAGTGTGCGGCCTCACCCAGGACAGCTCCTGTAAGAGACGTGGTGAGTTGGATGGGTGCGACGTGCGTCGTGCGCGGGGCTGTTCTAAGAATGCTGAGGTTCGTAAGGTCTCTGACTTCGTTGGAAGGCGGGCCGTTGAGGATTGGGGGAGCAATCCTAGTTGTTGGCTGCGAGAGCCGACGCTGGGCAGCTGGACCTCCGCGCCCCCATCCCCCCGAATAAGAGGATTTCCAGTCGTGCGGGGGTGGGGGAGGGAGGCAATGGGGGGCGGTTTTGCTTATGGAGGGGGAGACGCCAGTGGGGGGCCTGATATTCAGGACACCGCCATACGTAGGGTGGTTTGGTCTTGGGCGGTGTTCAGGGGCCTCCGATTTGGGGGACAGCACGACCCCGGTGATCTCCAGGCCCACGCAGTCTGTTTCGGCAATGTGCCTGGATGGTGCCAGTCGGTCAACAGGGGGAAACGATGAGTTTCTTGCAGGTGTTGCTGTCCTCCCTGTTGCTGACGAGTTCTTTGTGACGGATTCCATTTGCGCAAGGAAGAATTCTAACGGCGTCGGAATTCTCCGACGTCTCATTTCGATGCGCGGCAGAGTGTCAAAGATGCGTCGGCAGAACACCCGGCCAGAAGAGGTGCGCTTGCGAAAGTGGAGAGCCGCAGAGAGGTGGAGGACATCAGCGGACAGGATACTGACCCCTTGTTTTTCCTTTTGAATGATTTGGCGGACCGTGTTGCGAAGCAGTGGGCATATAGTATTCGTGCGCCTGTTGCTGCCAGAGGCAGCAGGTCCCATGCCCAGGCCATTGCCTTCCAGGTCCGTTTGCGCCTGGGCCACAGGTTGCTCGCTCCGATCGAAGCCGACGGGAATCGGGCGCCCAGGGAGGCCGCCTTGAAACCGAAAAAAAAAAGGCGTGTGATCAATATTCAACTGCTCCCGACTGCCCACCAACCGGCGTGGGGATTGGCTCCCAGGTCCGCTGTCACTGTTGTGGGGGATGTGCGCCATACAAGTTGGCCGATAAATGCATAGCGGCCCCTTGCCACCAGAGCTTGTTTAAGGGGTGATGTTGGTGCCCACTAAAAGTTCAGTCAATGGCGCGGACTTGCGCAGCTTCCACACCCTGGCCTAGCACAATGACTTTGGGAGCACAGCCTGTCTGTGGCTGCGTGGCCACCCAAGCTGTCAGGAAGTTAGCAGGTGTTTGCTCTTCCCAGCTCAATCAGCATGGCAGGCGACAGTTGAGGAAAGTGCAGCAAGTACAGCCCCCAGGTTCCTCAAAGCTTGCCCAGATGCAATGGGCCCAGAAGAAGGCCTTGCGTCAACCGTTCAGCTCTGCCTCTGGCTGGAAAGAACGAAATATGCAAGCTGAAAAGTAGTGCGCAGTAGCTTGTTGTCAATGTGTAGTTGTTCGAGCTGCTTCAAAGACAGATGCTGTAGCCCCCGAGGTTGCCCTCGGCCCCTGAGAGGTCGAGCTTGGCACCCGCTCCATGCCCCGCGCGATGGTCCCGCTATAATGGCGGCCACGCGGCCGCGTAGTATTTGGTCTCTCCAGAAGAGCATGGTGTCCCATTTCGCGAGGTCGCCTCTGATCTCGTCGCAGGTGGTATCGGTAGAGAGGACCTCAGGAGCCTCTTGATGTCGGCCCGTGCTCTTGTGGGGTCGGCGTTGATGAAGGCGTCCCCTGCGCCGTTGGCAATTCCCGCGAGGTAGTTGGAGCGGTCAGTCCCGATGGCGCTTGTTTATTGGGGTGGTGACCCGCGTTGGAATGCAATCGCTGCCCCTCAAGCCATTTTGGCTCAAGTTCCCAACGTCGCCCCCGCGGTTGGAGCTCGATTGCAGCCGAGGGGGCGGCTCAAAGCCCCTGTGCTTCCAGTTCTCAGCTTTCATTTCTCGGGCGCTGCCCGAGCCTTCCCAGGCCGCGGTAGCCAGTTTCTCCGCGCATGCAGACAGGGCGCGACGGCGGCGCCAAGTGTCCTTCGTGCGGGGCGGTCAAGTGCAACGAGCCGCGGTGCAAATGGTGTGCGAACTGCTGGGCCATTCATTCATCCTCATGCGGCTCCCTCTGCTGTCCGCGCGCCAGATGGTCATTGGCGCAATGGGCCCCCGCGTGGAGGCCGAGGTCAAGTATCCGGCAAGGGCGGGAAAGGTGGGCAGGGGGGGCCCTTGGCTCCGCCAAAGGACCCGCAGGCGCTTCTTTCGCACATGCAGCTCTTGCTCGGCCAGTTTCGCGATGAGTTTCCTGAGCGAAGCACGCTGGTCGCCACGGTCGAGCAGTCGGCCCCGGCAGTCGGAGCATCAGCGTCAGAGTCTCGGCCTCTTCTTCAACAGCGCAACGAGGTGCGCGAGGCTCCGTCCAAGAATGAGAGGCTGCTCGCGTCCCTGGACAAGCAGTTGTCAGAGGCAGAGGCTCGGTTTACCCGTCGCAAGGAAGAAAAGGCCCCGGCGGTCGCGCAGCAGTCTCAGCTCAAGCAGAGGTTCGTGGAGCTTGCGGTCAAGGTCGCGAGCATTCCTGAGCATGTGGAGAGCGTCGAGCTGGGCGCCAACATGGGCTTCTTCGACCAGCTCCTCGCGAAGGGCGACGTTGCTGCGATTCGTGAGAGCTGGGGTCAGCTCAAGCCTAAGTGCCAGTCTTTGCGGCAGCCGCGGGTGGAGCCTGCGACTGCCCCTGCTCCAGCTACGCCTACTTCCCCTGCTCCTGCGCCTGCTGCCCCAGGCGGAGGGGAAGGCGAGGGGGCGGGCGATGATGCTGAAATGCCGCAGGTCTCCCCAGAGGATGAAGAAGGCTTGCGGGATTTCATGTCAGAATGGCAGGCGGCCCAGGGTGAAAGTGTCAATGCAGAAGCCCGCAAGAGAGTCTCGGACTTCTTGGAAGCTGCGGCCAGGAGGTCTAGCCGTGTGCATCCTGCTCCTGGCGGCGGCAGCAGCCAGCCTGGAGGGTCTGGCACCTGACGTTCCCCATGGCGGCTTTGAGAGCTGCCTCTGCGTGGGGAATTCGGGAGAGCCGCCCCTGTTGTGTCAGGATGTGATTCCAGTTCCTCCTGAGCCCGCCATGCAAGATTTCCCCCCTCAAGTTCAATCGTGTAATGTGCCAGGTCGGTTGTCACTAAAGAACAAGTGGCTTCCCAAGGTTTCAGCCCCTGTGCTTCTGGTGCAAGAGCACCATCTGTGCGACCCAGAGGCTATCTCCCAGGCTTCTCAGCGGCTGGCTAGGCGGGGGTGGAAGTCGCGTTGGGCGGCGGCGGCTCCAGGCGCAGGCGGAGGTACGTCAGGTGGTGTCGCAGTGCTAGCTCGATCGCATCTGGGTCTTTATACCTTATCCTCAGGCTTTGAACTCGCTCCTCATCGCGCGGGGGCGACGACGTCGAGGGCCCTTCGGAGCGCAGCGTTGAACTTCTATCGCGCGCGGGGGCAGGCACGTCCAACGCAGACCTTCCAGTTATCATTGGTGGGGTTAAAACATGACCCCAGGTGAATTGCAGAGCAGCCACTTCGTCTCTGAGTTCAAGGGGCAGCTGGTTACCCCCCACCGATGGAGACTACGCTCTGCGCAGGCAGGGCGGCCTCAAAGTATATGGTTACGTTATTGTTTCTTCTGGCATCAGCAAGGTTATTAAACAGGTGACGGTTGACAACGCTGCCCCACTCAGCCCCCGCAGCCCTGTGGACCTTGAGCTGTGTCCCAATCCTGCGCAGATGAAGGTTTTAGGGTTTAGGAAGCCCCCCCCCCCCCTGCCCCCGGTTCGGGCTGTGGGGCCGTGCCGTGAACCCCCTTCTTGGGGCCATGTCCTGGACGTCCTGGAAGATGATTTAGAGACTGCTCGTAGGGGGCAGGGTGCTGAAACTCAGCGTCTCCTAGATG